TTAATGGTGCTAATACGGAATATTTTTATTTTTATGACCTAACCCTGCTTTATACAATTTCAGTTTTATCTCTGACCTGTCAGGTGAGCTTCTTGTTCGGTTGAACTCTCTGCCTTCGGGCGGTAGGAACCCGATGTAGGCTACGCCGAAGGGCGGACACTCTTTCGGGGAGGTAAACCGACCCTGAACCCGTTTATACGGGTTCAATGGGCATATTTATGGCCGAGCCCACGGACTCGGAGATCCCACGTTAAAAAGGCCTTGTGCCACATGACGCCCTCGTAGGGGGTGGTGACTGAATATCGTCAGGTGAGCTTCTTCGTCTCTACGACGCTGATTGCTTAGTTACCCTCTCTACTGAAAGCCTGACGCCTTCAAGGTGTAGAATTAAAAAATAAGTATTATTTTCGTTTCGTGAACTCTGTTTACAAATTATGTGACTTCTGAAGGCAGTTAGTGCCGGTGGATTTCACTTATGGCTTTTTTTCAGTAAAGCGGATGAATGCATATAACGATTTTCTAATTCCGGAAAGATAGGCACCAGGTGAGGATCGAAATAAGTCGTAACTGATCTTGTGAGACAAGCCTTCTAACGATTATATCACGTCGACGTGCACCCGGGTGTATACATATGCCTACAATACTTTTCAGATTTTATTTGTAAATAATTTTGACAACTATAACTATCAAAGTTTTCCAAACTGCAAAATGATACACTGTTTTATAATTGTTCATTATACGTAACCCCAATAAAATACATCTAATTTTGTGGTTGTAACCTGACAAAATGTGGAAAAGTTCAAGCGGGTGGAATAAATTTGCCCGGCTGCTTGATTTTGTATAACGGCATATCAACCTCTATTGGTTAATTAATACCGAAATCTAAATATTTTTTACGAAATTTAATACTTTCAAATCCAGATATTTTTAACATAATTTTATACTTTCTGTGTAAAGGTACGTTTTTAGATATATAGTTTGTAGGTTATAAAATATATTGTTGGCATTTTTTAAAAACGTACTGCTAGTAATTTCCCTAAAAAAATGTATTGTTGGTAATTTTACTATCAAAATGTTTTTAATTTTTTAGTGCTGTATTGTTTGTCATTTTTCTATACAATGTACTGTTGAATTTTTGATTGGTGGTTCACTATTTGCCCATAGCTGGGACCCTAACAGGTGCTACCACCTAGATGGACCTGAGAATAACAGCAGTTAAAAAGTGGTTCCACGTTCCCCCAAAACCTCCAACCACCAGAGGAGAAGTCTTGATTTCGGATGTAGTTTATCGCCATATCCAGGATGTCTTTTACTAGGCACTGTATGTTTTATGGCAATATTTGTCTTTTACTAAAATCTCCATCCAGTACCCAAGGTACTGAATGAGTTTGTTGTAAGTTTGTAAGAAAAGAAAATTAAATGTAGGATATGTTGAATAGATAACGATTGATGCTCGATTTGAAAAGGTCAAGAAGTTAGGGAATCGGGTAACTTTAGTGGATACGGGTGTTCGTGTGGGCTTCTTGTTTTTTGAAACCTGTATAAGTTTTGTCTATCAGCCCAGGTTTTTCGAGAGTCTTTTTAATAAAAAGTGTGAATTTTTAGCTCAACTGTTACTACAGTTCCATCTTCTTGATAGTCAGGGAAGCTTATTTATAGAGGAAACGTTCTTAAGGCGATTTTTAAACGTTCTAAAGGAGTTTTAGCACAAGGCCAAAAGTATGAGTCACTCAGTAAGGATCGAACTCGGTTGTAAATCATCTAGCGTGTCATGTTGAGAGTGTCGAAATAATCGTTTTTAAGGTTGCTGTATAACTTTGTGTATTGAGACATTTTTTTTAAATTGGTAAGTTTGGTCAATTTTGGAGTAGCTTTTACTCTGTAATTGATTTAAATTATTGAAAAAATTATACACAAAACAAATATATATATATATATATATATATATATATATATATATATATATATATATATATATATACAAAGCAATTCTATGAATTGAACCCTCTAGATCACTGGTGTGTTTATTCAAAAAGAACAAATACGAAAAATTTGGCTTCTCTCTATCGGGCGCTAACAGCACAGGGGTATAAAATTTACGTCTGAAGCCAAGTCAGTCAGGTTTCGATCTCGGCTTGAGGCTATCAGATGTCGAGCCACACTGATGACCTGTGTTACAGCGAAACAGTCAGTCTGTGAACGACTATATATATATATATATATATATATATATATATATATATATATATATGTATGTATGTATGTGTCTATATAAAATAGATATATATGTTTATGTATATACGCTATTCTTAATGCAATTTATTTAAGTAAATGCTATTTTTTTTTCAAAAGACAGTATTAATTACATTTATCGGCTTGAATGTTCGGAAAATTCCGTAGAAAATATATGTTCTCCCACAGGAATCGAACTTGTGTCATATGTGGAGCCCTCAGGTAGAACTTAATGTCCGGGACAGAGTAATGATATAATATAATAAAAAGGCTTAAACTACTAATATATATATATATATATATATATATATATATATATATATATATATATATATATATATATATATATATTCATGAATCATTCATACAAAAAACAAATATAGAGGTTAATGATTTAAATGGCAAGAATACAAGAATAAATCTACTTCCATACCGGAGGATGTCTGTAGGAACAGACGAAAGCTTGTAAAAAATTAAAAAGACCTTATGCAACTGGAATTTATGAACAGGGATCATATCATTCATATACAGGTTCGGGATTGATGTATCTCATTTTTATTGTTTGCGAAGATGTATTCTCGCCATTTAAATCATTAACCTCTATATTTGTTTTGTGTATATATATATATATATATATATATATATATATATATATATACCACCAGAAGTACCTGATGTTGCCCGGGACAAAATTATTGCAAGGATTTCTAACTTAGTTTCTAAATAACATGTTGCAGGAATATAACTATGACATAAAAATTAGTAAACATCTAGGATAATATAGAAAGGAAAATAGCAAATCATAAATATTTTAAGTATTAGTCTTTTTACGAAAAACTTACTCTCTGTGCAATATTCTTATTGTTTTGAGTGGGTGCATAAATGCAAAGATTTCTTTGGCTTTCAAGTACGAAGCAGCAAACATCCAGCCGACCATGTGTGAAAACAGGGATCGTCTAATTGCAAACCAGCCACCGGCAGTGTTTGGCATTGTGAATTGTTTCTTGATATTGCAAAGCTACGTTTGACTGGAAATAGCAATCTTTTAAAATTGAATGGAACATGTGTACGAACCAAGGGAATTATTGGTATATAGACGTCTTCTCCTCTTGCACAAGCAGAAAGAATTGTTACTTCAATAACATGAGACATCATTCTCTTCAATATAAGTCTTGTAGCGTTGCAGTGTTTTGGAGGATCAGGATTTCGTAGTAGCATTAGTGAAGAACCAATTTTCACATCTACTCTATGTGGTGGTAATCCAGATAACTCAATTACGGAATTCTGTCGGATAATTAACTTATATCCAATATATATATATATATATATATATATATATATATATATATATATATATATAAGAATAAATAGATATATATATTCTTAAGAATAAATAGATTATTTATTTGTTAATCCGACATGTTTTTTTATTACTAATTACTTCAAAAATAGATAAACGTATTTGAGTAGACGCTACGTTAATAAACAATTTGTATTTCGTCTACCGACCTGAGCACTCAAGAAAATATTCCCGCCGGCAGGATTCGAACGTGCTTCTCTCCTTTGAACACACACACACACACACACATATATATATATATGTGTATGTGTGTATGTGTGTGTGTGTGTGTGTGTGTGTGTGTGTGTGTAATAATCCGTTGCTATATAATCCATGCGAATCCTGATAATATAAAATACTAAAACTGATCCACAAAAAGAGTTCTAAGTATTTATTATAACAGAGCATATAAATTACATAGAATAGAAATCCGAATTTACTTCATTCGAATAGCTATTTCAACCAACAAGCCGTTGGCATTGTCAACTCAGGAGTGTGAAGGAATAAAGTATGAACTTAAAATTTAATTATTTAAAAAAAGAAAAACAGAAAAGGAAAAAAAAACAGAAAAGAAAAAAACAGAAAAGGTAAAAAGAAAACAGAAAAGAAAAAACAGAAAAGGAAAAAACAGAAAAGGAAAAAACAGAAAAGGAAAAAAACAGAAACGAAAAAAACAGAAAAGGAAAAAAGAAAACGCAAAACAGGGAAAGAAAAGAAAGGAAGCAGGAGGAACCGATGAAAATATAGACATTAAGTTAACGCAACCCCCAGGGTCATGAAATGGGGTGTGGGAAGTGTTTGGCTTAAATAAAGACAGTTAATATAACGTTGGCCTATATTTTAAAATATTAACATCCCAAGTCAGGTTGAAAATGAATCACAAAATTAAAGACACGAGTTCAAACAATTTTAAAAATTAAAATAGGAAATAGTCAATATTAGTTATAAACCAAAGAAAAAAAAAACCTATAGTTTTTTCCTTTTTTAGAAAACAATTTCTCAAATCTATAGTAGCAAAAAATATAAGAAAAATAATAACCATAAATAGTTTATATAAAGAAAACATAAATATGTCTATGAGTGCATCCAGAAGTCTCTTCTTACTGGGGCCGAAATTGCTCACGTTAAAGCATGATTATAAAAGGTGATTTTAAAGGCAGACATTCTTAATTATTTTTATCCGTGAGAAGAAGGACATCAGACAATATTAGTTTGCACTGGTGATACCATAAATGAACCAGTTTGGCTCTAGCAGCCAATGAGGCTAAACGAAAATCTCCTTTTGTAAAATTACAAAATATATATCAGGTCTGAAAAAGCTTGTACGATCTTTATGATTATTTGGGTGACGCTAGTAAGTGTTGTATACCACTTGATAAATGGTTTCACCATTTTTTGAACGAGTTTCATATGAAGGCGCCATAGCTTCATGGCAGATTTTGTATTGCAAGAAGGGACAACATTAAAGGCTACAAAACGTTCCTGCTGTTCACCCATACGTGTCTCTCGCTGTAAGGAGGAGGCACGGTGGAGTAATGGATAGTAATTGGATTGAGGAATCGGAGAGCCGAGTTCGAATTCCAGTCGAATCCATTACATTCACTTACGTGCTAACACCTTTGGGAAAGGTGTGAATCCTCTTTCTTCTCCCTCCAGCTATGGGTAGTGATTTTCCAAGCGTAGGATATGGTACAATCCTCACCCAGTGAGGATCGAACTCACTACTCAGTCGTAATTGCTTGCTAAGCATTACACCACTTTGAGGTGCCCAGTGATTTTCTAAGCCCGGCTTAGATGTGGCACAAGGCCGAAAGTATGAGGCGCCCAGTGAGGATCGAACTCACTACTAACTACTAGTCGTAAGCTGTCTAACCATTACACCATGTCGAGGTGACCAAGTGATTTTTCAAGCGTAGCTTAGATGTGGCACAAGGCCGAAGGTATGGGGCACCCAGTGAAGATCGAACTCACTACTCAGCCGTAATTGTTCTGGCGAGACAAGCTTGCTAACCATTACACCACCTCGAGGTGCCCCCTCCAGCTATGGGTACATAGCAGGACAGACTGGGTTCTATAGCCTTGAATGGCATCTGGTCAAGGAGAAGGAAAACTGAATTCAAACCTGCTCTTAGAGGAGGGTAAATGGAGTCTCTCTGAGCCTTGGTTGGCAATCCATTTTAGTGTTGGTGTTACGATAAAAACACCCTTGATATCCCTAGCGAAGCATCAAGAATTCAGCTATTGACAAGATTATGAACTACACCAATCAAAGTATTAGTGAGTTCAATCTCGGCTGAGGCCGCAAGATGATGATGATGTAAGTGCTTATGTCACCGCCTAACTACTGCAATCAAATGAAACGAACATTAATGATATTTCTTAGTTATTTTTAAACAAAACGAGTTTCAGGCTTGAAACAGCATTGCATGTTGGTGTGAGATTTTTGATATAATTACAAAATGGTAATTCTAAAATGAACTGTTTCCATGCAACAAACTTTCCGCATTCATTTACCAAGCAATTAGCTTGGTTGAAATATTAGGTTTTTACACATGAAATGAAGCACTTCATGCAAAATGAATAAAACGCTTGAGATGTTAAATTTATTTACTTGAAATAAGCACCATGTTGATGAATGACCCTTCTCCAACGTACCTCTAAATTCTTCACCCAATGTTTAAAAAATTTTCATCCTTTGACGTGATAAACAGTTTAAATGCTTCGATTACATCTTCCTCATGTTTTATTGTTTGCGCCAAGCTCAAAATATTTACATAATTGATAATCATTAAGAGAGATATCAGGTGAATATCGAGGTCTAATTTCATAATTCAGGCAATGCAGATTTTGGACAGTTGATTCAGAAGCGTGTGACCGTGCATTGTCCTGCAGAAAAATTGGGCCTACACCATTCAAAAGTTGAGGATGATTGTTATTTTTCAATTATTCGTGCATACACTCAATTTCTTCACAATACAAGGTTGCTTTTATTATTTTCACTTAAGGCAAGAATTAATAATGAATAAGTCCTTTGAAAAACACCATACAGTAACCATTAAATTCTTCAGGTGCAGTGGAAGTTTTGTATAGTGTTTTGGTGATTCACTTGCATCTAACCACTGGCCTACTTTCTTACTGTTGTCAAAGAATATCTATTTCTCATCGGATGTAATGATTCCATGAAAAAATGGTTGTATTTCCCAGTTGTATTTATGCATTCTACTTGTCCTTGTTACATTGAAATCCTTTTCATCTATCTATCTATCTATCTATCTATCTATCTATCTATCTATATATATATATATATATATATATATATAAATATATATATATATATATATATATATATATATATATATATATATATATATATATATAAATATATATAAAGAGTGTATCGAAAATGCTTTTAAAAAATTTTGGGGAGCGTTCCTGACACAAAACAAGGGTAAACGTCTATATAAACGTATGTCAAATGTCAAATGTAATATAAACACACACACGGACACACACACATATATGTATGAATACATATATATATATATATATATATATATATATATATATATATATATTTTAAAAACTAGGAAACCATTGATTTTAATATTAAAAGTCTCTAGAGCCCTTTCAGCCAACATCTCATCAGGAGACAATCGTTGGATTAGCGAAATGAATAATAGCGATATTGAAGAGCAAAAAAGAGGGGAAACACACTAAAATAACGAACAAGTATATATACTTGTAACGAGGGAAGGGTTATCGTGTAAATAAATAGCGAGGGACAGTTAAAATAAAATATCCCCCAACAGATTCAGAGACCTTATAAATTCTTTCTGCCGGCAGAGAAGGTTTTTAAATCCTATACAGACCGATTCCAAAATCTTCAAATGATTATTGAATCGGCTGTATGAATAATTCTAAACCACTCTTTTTATACAACTTGGCAAAGCTATATTCTCAACTAAATGTTGAGCAATAGCCGATTCCATATTCATGGGGGAAGATAGCATATTCTATCTATCTTACCAAGTCGTATTTGGAAGGAACGTGCTGATTAATTCTAGTTTCCAAATGCAAGGTTGTACGTCCCATATAACCAGCAGCACACTGGCAATTAAATTCATATACTAAATTACTCAATTTGATGTAGGGCAATACATCCTTGCGAAAAGACGGAAACGCAGACCTAGTTTGAAAAATGCTACGTAAAGCAACTGATGGGAAACAACAGGAAACCAACTTGCTAACCTGCTTAATTATGCCCTGACCACTATCCCCAATCCAGGGAATCTTCAAATAAACCGGATGTGTCCAGTCTATTTACTAACGTACCATTGAGGGAAACTATTGATATCTGTGCAGACTTTTTATACGAAGGTAACATTGCTCCACCTCCTTTTCCTAAGGATATATTTATAGAACTCATGATACTATGTACTAGTTCGGCGGAGTTCAGTTTTGACAATATTATGTATAGTCAAGTGGATGGGGTCCAGATGGGCAGTCCCCTTGGCCCTGCATTGGCTGATATTTTTGTGGGCTACCATGAAATGTCACTTTTCGGCAAAGTGTCTAAACCATTTGTTTACGTTAGATATGTCGATGACACCTTTGCAACATTCTCTAATAAAAGTGAGGCTGTTGAGTTCTTTAATGAGCTCAACTCCTTACACAATGGTTTGTCTTTCACTATGGAAGGGAGAAAGACAACTGTCTGCCTTTTTGGATGTTTTTGTTGAACGCAGTAGAGGTGGTTTTATTACTAGCATTTATCGTAAACCCACCTTTACTGAACTTTATTTGAATTGGCGTTCATTTGCTCCTGCATCAAGGAAAATTAATCTCGTTAAAACCTTGGTGTATAGAGCGCTTAAAGTGTGTTCCCCTATTAGATTGGACCGTGAATTTGGGAACATTAGGGAGATTTTCCTTAGTAACGGCTATCCGGAGGCCCTTATTGACTACATTATAAGTAAGAAAACTAAGGAATTTCATTCCCCTAAAATCCAGGGCCTTCTAAATGTCCGGTTTATTTGAAGATTCCTGGATTGGGGATAGTGGTCAGGGCTTAATTAAGCAGGTTAGCAAGTTGGTTTTCGGTTGTTTCCCATCAGTTGCTTTACGTAGCATTTTTCAAACTAGGTCTGCGTTTCCGTCTTTTTCGCAAGGATGTATTGCCCTACATCAAATTGAGTAATTTAGTATATGAATTTAATTGCCAGTGTGTTGCTGGTTATGTGGGGGCGTACAACCTTGCATTTGGAAACTAGAATTAATCAGCACGTTCCTTCAAAATACGACTTGGTAAGATAGATAGAATATGCTACCTTCCCTCATGAATATGGAATCGGCTATTGCTCAACATTTAGTTGAGAATATAGCTTGTGCCAAGTTGTACAAAAAAAGAGTGGTTTAGAATTATTTCATACAGCCGATTCCAATAATCATTTGAAGATTTTGGAATCGGTCTGTATAGGATTTAGAAAACCTTTCTCTGCCGGCAGAAAGAATTTATAAGGTCTCTGAATCTGTTGGGGATATTTTATTTTAACTGTCCCTCGCTATTTATTTACACGATAACCCTTCCTCGTTACAAGTATATATACTTGTTCGTTATTTTAGTGTGTTTCCTTTTTTGCTCTTCAATATCGCTATTATTCATTTCGCTAATCCAACGATTGTCTCCTGATGAGATGTTGGCTGAAAGGGCTCTAGAGACTTTTAATATTAAAATCAATGGTTTCCTAGTTTTTAAAACTATTTATAAATTTTGTACCTCCAAACATTTGTTTATATATATATATATATATATATATATATATATATATTTATACGTTATTACGTTATTTAATATATATATATATATATATATATATATATATATATATATATATATATGTATGTAAATATAAAGTGTGTATCGAAAAATACTTTTTACAAAATTTGGGGAGGATTCTCACACCAAAACAAGGGCAAACTGCTATATGAACGTATGTCCGCAAATTCTTCGCTTTTCAGTTATTAAGTTTAATAAAAGTTTACAGTAGGTGGCGCTGTGTTAGCATGTAGACTAGTTTACATTTGTCATTCGTGTATATTTGTGGCCAGTCTGTCTTCCACGTTTAACGTGTGTTGCAGCGAGTTTTCTGAGATGTGTTCCGTTTAACATTATCAGGATATTCATATCGTGAGCAGGCAGATATAAGACATGAGGCTTATGAGAAACAATATAATAAAAGATGAATTATAAGGAAAAAACAGTCAGAAATCGGTCAAGATTCTTTGAAATACTAAGAAGATTAATTCGTTAGAAGACCGGATCTACAGTCACTTATGTCACATGCATTATACACGCTTAGGTGATCATGTATCTTTCGATACATGATCACCTATCTGGCAAAGTAGATCTTTCCCACAGTAAGATGCCATTTATTTTCCAAGGCTACATAACCCGCTCTGTCCTGCTATTTACCCATAGCTGGGGAGAGAAGAAGAGGATCCATACCTTTTCCAAGGATATTAGAACGTAAGTGAATATCAGTCAGTTATGTGCCATGCGGGATACACGCTTAGGCGATCATGTATCTTTCGATAAATGACTGACGAAGCAGATTTTTTCCCGCAGTAGGTTGCCATTTCGTTCTGCGATAGACCAGTTGCCATCCAAGGCTACATAACCCGGTCTGCCTTGCTATTTACCCATAACTGGGGGAAAAAGAAAAGATTCATACCTTTCCCAATTGTCTTAGCACGTAAGTGAATGTAATAGATTCGACTGGAATTCGAACTCAGCTCTCCGATTCCTTAATCCGAGCCACTATCCATCAAGAGTAACAACGTAATATATAATATCTATTTCTTGAAAATATTTTTCATTTCAGAGAAATAGACTACTTAAGTTCACGGTTATCGATCGTTTGATATTGATGCAAGTTTTCTTCAAGGAACGCCATTTAGTCTTACTTCACTAATTTCTTATTTGCAGATTTAAAAACAGATTTTAGATAAAATCATTGGTATTTCTTTGTGCACATGCTAAAAGTTTTATTAATTTCCCACTTGATAAAGCAAATAATAATGTGCGTTAAGATTAGCTTTCAACAGATGCAACATTAAAAATATAAAACATTTTAAATCCTTACTATTTCACAGAAATTACCTTTCATATAGATTTAATATCTTTTTCGAACAGGTATCTAATTTTATTCCATTTGTCACGCACTTCGAAAAATAATTCAGATTAACGTGCTGTTGAATTTAATGATTAATGCTGAAACCAGTTAATGCTTTAAAAAAGTTTATAGCTAAAAGAAAATAATAATGGATATATTTCAAGGTTTACATTATCGCACTTCTCCAAAGCCATCAGTTTAATAGATTTCTAGGTTGTAAAATTGAAATTAGGTGCCAGAAAAAGCCGTTAATTTAATATTGATTTGAATTGTTGTACACATTGGGTTTCTTAAAATATACTGTTGATGATCTATAGCTCACTGAACGATTTATTACATCGGAATATTTCAACTCGCTACGAAATGGCAATTGCAGGTTATTTGAGAATTAACGTTTTATATCAGTTTATTTCTTTTCTTCTTCTTCTTCTTCTTCTTCTTCTTCTTCTTCTTCTTCTTCTTCTTCATCATCTTCTCCATCTTCTTTTTCTTCTTATTCTGCACATTTTCGCTCTTCTCCTCCTACATTATCTTTGTTCCATTTTTTTTACTTCTTTGCTCTCATTACCCTTTCTACCATCTTCCTAGATATTTGGTATACTTCCTCTCACCTTTTCCCGCTTTTCTTCTTCTTCTTCTTCTTCTTCTTCTTCTTATTCTTCTTCTTCTTCACATTTCCGCTCTTCTCCTCCTCTTCCTTCATCTGTGTTCCATTTATTCTTTTTTTTTACTTTTTTGCCCTCATTACCCTTTCTAACATCTTCCTAGATATTCGGTATACTTCCTTTCACCTTTTCCCTCTTTTCCTTTATTTCTTCTTCTTCTTCTTCTTCTTCTTCTTCTTCTGCACATTTCCTGGATTTACTAACAGTATTACCCTTTGTATGATTGTGTAAATACATTTTATTTCTTATATTTAATTATTGCGTTTGTCATTCCTTGGAGACTGAATTCATCTCGGAATCCACAACAAAACGTCTTTTACTTTTTTCCTTCTTTGTTCTCATTTCCCCTTCTACCTTCTTCCTAGATATTTGATATTCTTCTTCTCCACACCTTTTCCCTCTTTTCCTTCAACATCTCCTTATTGTTTCATTTTTTTTCCTTTTTTCCTTCTCCCATTCTATCTTCTTCCTATATATTTTCCTCACCATTTCCCACTTTTCCGTCAACTTCTTCTCCTGCTCCTCCTTTTTCCTTTTTTCCTTCTTTGCTCTCATCTCCCCTTCTTCCTTATTCCTAGATATTTGACTTTCTTCTTCTCTTCAACTTTTTCCTCTTTTCATTCACCTTCTTCTTCTTTTTCTCTTCATCCTCTTCCTTCTTTTTTTCTATATTTTTCCTCTTTTTTCTTTCTTTGCTCTCACTTCCCTTTCTACCTTATTCCTAGATATTTGGTTTTCTTCTTCTTCTCACCTTTTATCTCTTTTTTTCATTCAAACTCTTCTCCTCCTCTTTCTTCTTTGATCCATATTTTTTCTTCTTTGCTCTAATCTCCCCTTGTACCTCCTCCTAAATATTTGTGTTTCTACTCCTGCTTACCTTTTCCCTCTTTTTCTCCAACGTCTCCTCTTTATTTACTTTCTCTTGCTCCTGAAATTATTCTTTTGTAGCATTTGTTTTTATTGCTATTCGTCTCATTTTTCTTCTCTTGTATATTTCTTCCTCTTGCTCTCCTCCTCTACATCTTTCTTCTTCTTCTTCTTCTTCTTCTTCTTCTTCTTCTTCTTCTTCTTCTTCTTCACTTTACGCCCAAGATTTCTTTTCTTTTTTTCTTCGCTGTCTATTTTACTTCTTCTTTTCATTTTTCTTTTCTACTTATTCAACTTCTATTCAAACTTTCTTTTTTTTTTCTCCCCCTTCTCATCATCCATTCTTCCTTTTCTTTTTTTCTCCTTTTCATACTTTCTTTTTTTTTTTTTTTTGTATTTCCGGTTCTCTTCCTAGTTTCTTTTTTTGTCTTTTCCTTTTTTGTTTGGCCTTTATCTTCTGCTTAACTTTTATTGTTTTTTTTCATCTCTGCAAACTTTATTCTTTTATCGATTCTTAAAACTCCTTCCTTTTCTTTGCCTTCTCTTTCTAATTCTTCTCCCCCTCCAATTATTCTCTTATTTCTTCTCTCCTCTTCATTCTTCTTCTTCTTCTTCACCACCACCACCACCACCACCTTCTTCTTCTTCTTCTTCTTCTTGTCGTTTCTACTGGGATTTTTTCATGAATATCGCGAAAAATGATGGCCCAAGTAAAGAAGAAACGAATTTTATTTAAATTTCTAGCGCTTTGTCTACACACATGCTATCAACGTACCAAACTACAGTTGTCCTTTCTTATCCTAATACAAAGATATTCCTGCTGAGGGACCCATTTCGCTTAAACAATTCTTGAAATACGAGCCCCTAATACTTATAATCTAATTGAATGCTTCCATTTTCAATTCCCATTATTAAATGAGCAGTGTCCGCTCAATTCTTTCTTCATTGTCTGGTGGAAAATTGTTTTATTTACTTTGGAAGATACATCTTTGTTGGCTCACGAATGTCGAATGCCATAAATTTTACATCCTTAAGCAAATTTCTATCGGAAAAAAAGTTTTAAGGAGAGAGCTCCGGTGCTTTGGATGTCTTCCTACCACTCGACTTAATAACTTTTAAAAATATTTCAAGGTTATCTATATATATATATATATATATATATATATATATATATATATATATATGATAGATAGGTTGGTTAATAAAACAAGTGCACACCAAAGGTTACCAATGTGAACAACGAAAAACATTTATTAAATATTAATTATTAACTACAAGACAGAAATGAAGCACGGAAATTAATTAAAACTATACCACCCCTTCTCTTCCTCCGTAAAGCCTAAATACATCTTTCTCTTTATTTCCCTATTCTTTTTTTTTTTCCTTTTTCTCTCTTTTCTCCTTCTTTTTCAACATATCATTTCCGTTAAGTTAACCGATTAAATAGGTCAGTGTCTGGTCCCTCCTTTCTCAATATTAAGTATGATAGAAAGAAATATTAAAATTAAACCTTCTGTAAACTCGACCATGTCTCTCACACCACTCCTCGCTACCCTCTCTGTTGAATTACATAAACTTAATACTACCCGTCAAAAGTTTCAATTTTCATTTCATTTTTCGTCTCACCTTTTGGAAGTGATGTCTGATGTTTCAGCGTCTTTAAAAGGTCTCTGGTGAATTAAAATATTACAATGGAGCCTTAAAGTGGTCTGTTTTTCTTTAAAAATTCATTTATATATATATATATATATATATATATATATATATATATATATATATTCATACGTATATGTGTGTCTGTTTATATTACATTTGAGTTTTAACAACTGACAAATACGCACATATATATATTCACACGCTTCCATATACGCACGCCATACCTTGCCTACATCATAACACTTTTTGTCTAGATATGTGTTTTTTTATATATATATATATATATATATATATATATATATATATATATATATATATTTATTTATTTATTTAAAATATGATTCCAAATCGCGACATAAGAAGTCCCATGTTTCAAAACAAGAGCCGGAAACTTCAATATAATTATTTAAATTAAATTGAGTTAAAAAAGCTCTGTTCCATCTTCAAGCGAAATTTTTTTTGGAATAACGTGTTTCTGAGATTTACGTGTTTTAAAAATTGAAATCAAAATTTCCATGGTAACAGCTAGGGCGAATTGTTTGTTGGGTAGGCGGGTGTTGGGTGTTAATAATAAGTATCAGTATAGAGTTACTATCGTAGATGTCAAGTCAGGGAAAGGTGGGGGTGTCTAAATTTGAAACGGAAGATGTATCAACCCTCGTCTAGTTTGCATGTCTATGGAGATTTATTTATTTTTTTATTTTATTTTTTTATGAAAGGGATTTGTGCATATAAAAAAACTGTTGTAACATTTGTTTTTTGACGACTTCATAAAGGGTTATCTTTTTTTAGGGTATTTAAACTATTTATTTCGGCTATGGATTATGAAGGGTGTTATATTGTATGCATGTTTTTAGTTAATTATTCAAACTATGAATCTGATGAGTGGGCTATGGATTAAACAAGTTATTATATTGTATGCTAGTTTTTAGCTAATAGTTCAAACCAAAAATCTGATGATGCCTACAAAAAACCGTTAACTCGTGTCTATTGTTTAATAGATTATTATTATTTATCATTTTAATTATGTGCAATTTTCATGGAGACATAAAGGGCATGGGTCATCCCAAGTTTTACATGTTCTAGCCTTGTTAATAATTTTCCATTTAACTTTAGGTGTCCTATTTGTTTCCTTCAAGTGCCAAAAATATTTAGATAGGGAAGTCTGATTTCTTTTGTTTATATTATTGAAAGAACACTTATGCTGCCTATCTTTAAAATCATTCTTCGTGGAGCCAATGTATATCTTATTAGTGCTTGGGCTCTCAGTGGATGATATAGTACATCGGTATACCACAGATTTAATAAGGATGTGGGTAACTCAACATTTCTCTCCACCTAATCCGATGATGATATAAGACTTCCTAAAGTTTGGACCATGTTTTTGACGAAAAGAACTTTGGATAATTCAAATCGACGCAAAATGTCTTTTGTCTTTAACAACAACAACAATAATAACAATAAACTTTCTTTAAACTATCTTTATATGTTGAAGGTAACATCATTCAGCAAGGCGCTAAACTTTTACTTACATTAATCATATATATATATATATTTGTGACGTCGTCCCCTGCTCGCAGCGCCAACTGTGACGTCCTATCCTGGTCTACCACGGCACCAACTGTGACGTCCTCGCCGCGGCGCCAGCTGTTCGCTCCTCGCTGCTCCGTTCGGGTATCGCCTCTCCAAACGTGACGTCCGCCTGTTGCGTTAGTCGTGTTGTCTCTTTCTGTGACGACCAACTGGCTTGGTATCGGTCGCGGCACCCAAATGTGACGTTCTAACCTTTTGGTGATTCGGGTGGGAATCTGGTTAGGTTTGATATCAGCCTCGTCGTTCCCAACTCGCTTCCAACGCCTGGTTGCCAAAGTAACTGCATTGATCTCCAGTCTGCCTACCCACGTTGTGAATTGATCTTAGGCAGACGAGATCAATCAGTAGTTGGGGCCGTAATGCAAATCAGGTTCAACGGGGGTGACACCACACAAATATGCATAAAAGAAAATAAAATGAAAACTCAAAAGTTCAAGGTATCAAAGAAAAAGATAACAAACTTTATGTCTAGTTGTTCGATACATAGGACTGCGTCTATCTCCCGACCCGTTCTATGGATTGTGACACGTTGTTTTCCGTTAGGCGAGTTTTAATGCTTCAAGTTGTTTGCTCTTTAAGAAATTGGTTTTTCGGCGTGTCTTCGGACGAAAGTCGAAAAAAAACTTATTTTGGTGGTCTGGATCTAAGTCGCTCTTCAAAATAATTGTTCTTGGATTGAAGAGGAGTCCGGAATGTGCGTGAATCTTTCAAGTCAGCTATCTGCGAGGCGGAACCAACTTCCACTCTGCTGAACTGAACTCAACTCAACTGATTTCTGCTTGCTGCGGCTTCGCTTATATGGACGCCGACCAAAACCGGGGTGGGTTTGTCGGCGTCGGGGGTTCCTCGATAATTCTAAATACATATCCACCTCTTTTATTTCTGGTTAGGAATTTTCCACTCTTACCCCTTTTGGGGAGCCTTTTCTTACTCCCACCTTTTCACCATACTTCAGAGGGGCGTGAGCTGCCCTCCCCACTTCTTCGTAGCAGCTTCTCATACCTATCCTCTGGATGGGCAGCGACAGCCGCCTTCGTGCGTCACGTGATCACCACTCGACCAATGGTGTCTTAGTCTGGCGTGGACGAATCCGCGGCTTTGTTTCAGGAAAAAAAATATCTTGCTTAACTAAAAAAAAATAATCTTTTCTTTTTCTTTTCTTCCTCTTAATCGCAGTTATCATTTTCTCTAGCCGCAAACGACGGTGGTTATAACTCTTGTTCTACACCTGGGCTTCGTCAGTTATCTTATCGCTAATTATCAGAATGGGTGGACTTTTTAACACGACCAGACGTCGCCCCGAAAAGAACATTTCTAAGTTCCCATTCATTTCCTTTCGGTACATATTTCTGATAACATAATTTTATTATCGCAGGCCAAAGATGTTCCGTCGAAAGAAATCGGTCAGTGGAAACATCGTGTGCGGCTTTTGACACAAATTTTTCATATCTATCCAAAGCCCTTTAGTCCACCTGTTTTCCGTCACTTATCGAAATAACATTTTCATTTGGATTTTTCTTTGGCCAGCAGTTTGTTTACGCATCCAAGATAACCCAGCCGTCGCCAAAATACACCCGATTCCTTTATCCACTCAGAATTTCCCTGTCATTGTAATGACACTCTTTCGCCATTTGTTACTTATCAAAATATCCTTTAACCATTGTCTCTTAGCCGTGGTGTTCTGCTTATCATCCACGTTTTGGGTCTCGCCC